CCGCACTCTCTGTGAAATCTGTCTCTCTTATTCATTGTTAAACCTGGTCTCACTGTCTACTGTGACTCTGCTCTTGAATTCTTTCCTGTGGTGGAGTCAAGAACGTGGCAACAGATTGGGTCGGACTGAGGCCAACTATCAACCCCCTGAACCCTACCTCCCAAATCAACTCATTCCTTGTTTTTCTTGATCTTGACAGTTTTGAAGAGTACTGGTTAGGCATTTTGTAAATATCCCTCAGTTTGAGTTTGTCTGATGTTTTCTTACGATCAGACTGGGGTCGTGGGTTGTTTGGGAGGAAGACCTCACAGGTGAAGCGCCCCTCCCATCTCATCAGATTGGGGATGGACACACGATATCCGTGTGGCATCACTGGGCTGTTAACCTTTACCATGTGGCCCCATGTGTGCCATCTTCCTCCTCTGCACTGTCTGTGTTCTATCCCTTGGAAACAAGTACCTAAGTCCCATCCACCCTCAAGGTGGCGGAGGGATTAAGTTCCACCTCCTGGAGAGGGGAGATTCTACATGTCATTTGGAATCCTATAAGAAAGAGTTGTCACTTTCTCGCAGCTTATTTATTCAGTCATTTATTATTATCAGTACGGTCTAAAACATTTATTTTGTACAGGGCACTATCCAACACTATGGGAGCTCTTTCAAGTTGACTCATGTGTCCCTATGGCATACTCTCATTTTTTTTTTCCTTTTAGCACCTCTTTGGTTTCTGACCCTTCAGTATGCTTCAGGCCCATCTTGTGTTTTCCCTGCCTCAGCCCTAGAGGCAGCCATTTCTCCAATAGCGCTGGGTCCTTTTATTGAAAAGTGATGTTTAGAAACCAAGATTTGGGCACTGGATGTACTCATTGCTACTGGACAGTCAGAATAAACCTGAGTTCAGACAAATGTCTCCAAGTCTAACCCAGCTCTACAGAGTTCAGGGGATGCCTCTGGGGGAGCCTTCAGGGGAAGAGTCTTTATAAAAGGAAAATGCTCTGTCCACTGTGATGCTAGATTAAGCTCAATCGCCATAAGGTTATCAGAATTTAGAAGCAGCATCAGCTTCTCTCAGCCCTGAGCGTGTTGCTTTCCATATCTCTCCTCACAGTCCCTCTTGCCCCAGGACTTGCACACCAACTCCACATGAGGGATGCACGAGACCCCAGACAGGACGTTCTGTTCCCACCAGGGCCTCCGCCACTCAGGAGCAGCATCTGGAGGGCGACCTGTTTCTTTACATTATGTGTCCCACAGAGTGGCAGACAGCAGGGACTACCATGCTAGTTCTGATTTTAGAGCTCGAAAGAAGACACTCATTTTCATTAGAATTCCATTTCTTCTGTGTAGCTCTTTCTAGTTTAAGACCTTTTGTGCTTGCCACCTCATTTAGACCTCCTGACGGTCCTGTGAGGACAGTGAATCGAAGACTATTATCCCATGAAGAAACTGAGGAGAGGGCCTGGAGCAGTTTTTCCAGCTCATGCGCCTTTAAGTGTCACTTGCCTGACATTTTAAATACTCCAGGTGACTCTGAGAGAACCAGCCAAAGAGCTGCTGAAATGCTCACGAAGGGATTGTCCTGGTCACTCTGGAAATCCCCTCTTAGTGTGCGCACTGCTGCTTGCCCCCAATACCTTAAAAGGTGAGGTGACGTGGAAACTACAGCAGAGGGGGCCTCGGGCCTGTTCCATAAATCAATGTGCATACATTCCCGGAAATGGGGAAATTTCTCCTCTTGGAGGGGATGGAATTCATGCGATCATAAAATGTACCATCGGGAGGGTGTGGCTAAGACAGAGTGCCCCAGCAAGTGTGCTGGGAGTGGATTATGGGGCTCTGCTGTTCCCCCAAGCCTTGGGACAGCAGCCCAAGGCCCACACAGCTTCCTCCAGTCAGGGGCAGTTTGGTGCCACCACCCACGTTACCATCTTCTGTGTAGTGACATGGGAATGCTTGTAAGCAGGGCCCTCAGGATCAGGTTCTAAGTGGAGAGGGGGAGTCTTACTATTTCTCCTGCATCCCCTCCCCCCTAAGCCACCTGGTGCTGTTGTGTCACCTTGCTGAGCCTCCCTTTCACGGTCTGCAACATGAAAAGCCACCTCTCTCCACTGAGCGACCTCAAGGTGGCGGCAGGAGGAGTCGGCTCAGTGCTGTGGCATTCTCGACTCTGAAGGCACAGTGCTCAGCTCCAGCCTTCCTGGAAACTCCCTCAGCCAAGGGAAAGGAGGTCTGTCCACTGTGGCGCTGCTGCCAGTGACTCAGAACCGCCTCCCAGCGCCAAGGCCCTTGAGGCTGCAGGAGGGCTGAGCAGGAAATGGGGAGGCAGGGTCAGCTCTCCCAGCTGAGGGAGGGGGGCCTAAAGAACCTGGTCAGGTAAGGTGGGCGCCAAATGCAGCTTTCTCCTAGCACCAGGTCTGTGTGTTGAGCCCTGCTATTCAGCAAGGAAAAGAACAAGGCCTTCGACCTCAGACGGCAGCCCAGGATGGAGAATTTGGCAGCCAGACAGAAGCCAGGAGAGGAACCGTCAAGTGGCTGATGGAGAATAGACCCTGGCCACCCCCATCCCCAAGCCTGTGTACAGCCACTTTCCTCATCAGAAAGACACCCTTGGGCCGGCCCGGTGGCGCACTGCTACAGTGCGCTGCTTGGGAGCGCGGCGGCACTCCACCGAGGGTTCGGATCCCACATACAGACCGGCCGCTCACTGGCTGAGTGAGGTGCGGGC